TTGTCACCCGTAGACCTGCCGGTCCCACTGTAGCTAGCAGCGAGGTGCGGGATAGTCAGTCCCGTATAGATCTATACACAACAATCACGCTCTCCCTACAAGAGACTCTGGTCACAAGTGCTAGTCCTACACTCTGATTCTGTGGGAGTGTTACAAGGACGTGTCTCCAACTTAGACTAACAAATTTACAAGTAATAATATAAACAAAAATCCTTTTATGATTAACATGAATTCTTTATAAAATGATGCATTTTACTACGTGATTCATAAGTTCATTGCTCTAGTTTTGAAAACTGTTTCTACGAGTTGATTTCTTAATCGTTTGGTCAAAACTATTTTCCATGTTAAAAGCATACTAGAAATATAATTATCTTAAGCAAAATAATATATTTTGAGCACAAGTTTCCTTGTACTTTTGCTTGTATCCCCCCCCCCTTGAAAACATGAAAAACTCGGAAAAAGCGTAGGGGGTATGAACTCACCTGTAGTGAGTGGTTCTGACGTGTGGTTAGAAGAGGAGTGCAGAGTGTCAGGTGTAACCTTGAGCACACAATGATCCTAATAGACAGATATAGACACGTATGTGTACGAGTTTAGTGTATAGACGACTAAATAAGAAGGGTAACACCCTTAATGGCTAGGAAACTCTAAGATTTATGGGATACAATCACATATGATTGGATAACTAGGGTATATGGCCACCCTATAGAGTTTACGGTCAAAGAGGTATGACCATTGGAGTTCACGGTCCAAGTGTTCACGGTCTTAGTGGTTACGGTTGTTAGTGTTTACGGTCCAATGACCTTACGGTCATGAGAGTTCACGGTCTAATGACCTTACGGTCATAAGGTTTACGGTCCATGGGTTTACGGTTCCATGGGTTTACGGCCCATGAATATACGGTCATTGAAGGTGTACGGTCTAAGGAGATACACTAGACCGTAAACTCATCAATCTTGCACAAATGATGGTTTTCAAGGGCTTCATTCAAAGGGCATCGGATTCTAGGGACCATGCTTAGCCTTAGGAAGGGTAAAGGCTATAAGAACACCCTTTATAAGGGTTTACGGTCTATGAGATTCATAGGACCGTAAACTCTTTTGTTCAAGCAAAGAGTGATGATCTTAAGTCCAAAAATGAGGATTTTAAACTCGATTCATGAAGGGAAGATGATACTTACGGTTTTTTTTTTAAGGCAAAGAAGGTGTTTTCGGTCCAAAACACAACCGTGTTCTTGAGGATTCTCGATGAAGGTAGAGAGGGAGTAGATAGAGAAAGCCTTTGAGTGTTTAATGTGAAAATGAAGGCCAAAACTCTATATATAGGGTAGAGTTCTCGGTCAAAAAAGGGGTCCACCTGACCGTAAACGTGTTTACGGTCTACACGAGTTTACAATCGTAAACTCGTCCTGACCGTGAACTCGGTGATTTTCGAGGAAGTTTCAAGTTTTTTGCGTGATTCCCGGTTTATTCCGAATCGTATAAAATACATATTATTTATTTAAAACTTAAGGTTCTTCCCAAATTAAGAAATTTGACGGAATTAAATAAAAACCCAATTTTTATTAACGGAAACCGGGTAAGGATAACGAGAAAACATTAATATTATCACTCTCTATCTTTTTGATACCACTCTCTTCATCCTACATAACTGAAAAAAAATCATGTGGTCTTAAAAAATAATATGCAGTAGCATGCTAAAGATACTACCACTCCTTCCAACCTAAGACTGTGGGTGTATGGTTACTACAAACCTATTAGAAAAGTGATGTCACCTATGCACGACATCACCTCCACTATATGTTCATTAGCCCTTGGAAATGGTTATCACTCCATATTATTTATCTTTTTTATTTTTTATTTTTACTTTGACATTTAGATTAAATAAAAAACATAATTAATAAACACAAATAAATATTTCACATTACTTAAAAACACATTACATAACTTCAATTTTACGCATAAATTACTAAAAAAACACAAAAACATAAAATTTGAAACCTAAATTAATAGAAAAACATAAAGTCGTAGAAATTTAAACCTAAATTACTTAAAAAACATAGAAAATTAAACATAAAAATTAAAATCACTTAAACCTAATTTCCATATGTTTTCGCGGACTTGTTGAATTTTTAGAAACTTAACTAGATTTTCCGGGTTGAGATCTGGTTGAGGCTTTGTGTTTATAATTTGAAGATCGGTAAGTATTATTTTTCGGATTAAGGTGTCTAAGACAGTTCCTAAATTGGTATATTCTTGTAGTTAGAACCAAAGTCTTTTTTGGGTTGCCCTCATAAATATAATTTGATTATAATGACATTTATAGAGAGAGGATGATTTATTAGATTCTTATATGATTAATAAACTAATTGGAATTTGTGAGAAAATGATTTATTAATATATTATATGATTAATATATTAATTGGAAATAGAAAATTGATTTTTTAATTTATATGATTAATAAATTAATATGAAATCAATTAGAATTAATTAATTATTAATCAAAATTAATCTAAAATTAATTCGGGACTAACTTAAATTAATTAAAGGTTAAAGAGTTGAATTGTAATTGTTCATAATTGAGCAAGGAATGAAGATTCCATAACCCATATAGGTGGTGAATGAAATTAGAAGGGATTCTAGGGTTTCGAGAGACCCCCTGATAGTAAATAGGAAAAAGATTTTAATTGGGATTAAATCTATTATTTAATCATTCAAATCTTGTTTAGTCTCAAAGTTACCAAAATTATAAATATGACCACGTGTGACCTCAAATTCATTCATACTCTTACTTGAAGGATTCTCTGGCCAAAAATATCCTCTCTCCTCTTTCCTCTTGTCTTTAAGTTATAGGGTTTGGGTGTGGGTTATTAGAGGCACCATCCTTTTGGTGTTAAGCTTTCCAAGACCTACACTACAAGGAGATTGAAGTGATTTGTTTTACTACAACAGATCAAGAGGTATGTAACTCTACACTTGATAATTTTGAATTACACTAGGGTTATACTACATTTAGTTGTTCATTGTATGTTGCTATCAAGGTATATGACATAGATCTTTTATAAAATGCATGTACCCTAGTAAGTGTTAATTGTTTTCCACATTGTACAATTATGTTTTCTATAAAACCCAACACTATTTTCCGGCGACGAGCTTCCTCCATTGCTTCATATTTTTTTAGAAAAAACTTAGAGTTTTGTCTATTATTTCCGCAAGTACGTCTTTGCTACTCGCTTTTTTTCTTGAAGACGCCGCCTTTTTTCCTTTGTCGCTTCCCGGTGGTCGTCGAAGTTGGACTTCGGTGGACCCCCCCCCCCTCAGTGTCGTTGAAGTCTTCATTGAGGTCGACGTCAAAACCCACATCTGACTCAAAAGTTCTTGACCTTTTGTTGGAGCCGGTGGTAGATTCCGAATGCGAAGTCTCCAGATTAAGGACCCATTTTGGACCCTTACGACAAATTTCTCACGATTTGTGGTGGCCGGATGTTTTATCGTCGTTGGTAACCTTGTATTGTTGGCATGTGGTTGATAAAATATTGAAATTGTTGCTACCATTTTTATGCATATTTTTAAGATTTTCAAATATGACATTAAACTGTATGCAAGCCGTTCGTAGTTTACGCCATTTTCCATTGACCGTGTCGTACGTCCGCTCCATTTGCCTTCCCAGTAGCGAGTGAAAGTGGTCTAAAACATGAAGCCAAAAACTGTTTCCCATTTGCATGTTGCTCGTCCTCAAGTCACACAATATGAAAATCCAAATTTTAGATAAAGCTTCCTCCTTATCTTCGTTCTAAGTTGTACCTTTTTTTGTAGCTTTTCATTTTTGTTGCATTCTTCTAGATGGTTGTTGTTTTTCTTGAATCATTTCGTCGTCGTTATTGTCGAGGTTTATAGGTTGGGATTGAGAAATGAGACTTGAGATGGTTGTGTTTGAAAAGTTTGTGGTTGAAATTGTTGAAAAGCTTGAATTGGGGTTGAATTATTGTGGTATTTCTTGTTTGTAATAGTTTGGTTGATATGGAATGTTGGTAGATAGATGATGTTGTTGGATTGAGGATGTTAACATTTGCATGTAGTTAAGATGTTGATACAAATCATTTGGAGTGTTTGGGGTTGTTGGGATGTTTGGAGTGGATGAAGTATTTTGATTTGGATCCATAGTTTCAAGAAGAGATGAGAAACTAGAAAGAGATTTGGGGTGTGAAATTTTTATATAGTTGTTGGTATTTATAATGTAAGTGTTTATTTTAAATTTGAAAAGTAAATTTTTTTATACATAAAATGCATTCAACGAATGTCAGGGGCGGTTTTAGTTGGTGTCCCGGTGTAGCACTAGCAACACCTATTTTTTCTGTCCGTAGTGGAAATAATTTCGATTTTTCAATTTTTTTACCTATTTTTCCTACATCAGCAACACATATTTCAACATTGACAACACCTACTATGTATACTTGTGTCCATCCCTGACAGATGCATTTTTTACCGTTTGAGGTAGAAGAATTCGATTGGCTGTGACAATCTGTGATTATAGTCAACCTGCATAACACTTACACCACTATGGGGCAATGTTTACGCATGAACATCCCCGACACATCGGCCATTACTCGTGAAAATGTGTGTCATACCCGATGGCCTAACAAAGCCTAGAATCAAGGGATACTCTCACCACTAATATCGTAACACCTATGCATGCAATTACCCTTCTTTTTGTTGACAATTTAACTTTGGGTTCCTAGGAAATGTTTATGACATGGATTCCACCGATTATGCCTACGTGACATGACTGGGACCCAATGCAAAAGAATAAAACTACGTGACATGACTGGGACCCAATGCAAAAGAATAAAGTCTAGGGAATAGGGAAAACCCTTTTGGAGTTTTCTACATAATTCTAAATATTTCTAAAGAAGCAACCAAGTTGTAAGTTATGCTTTATGATTTGCAATTTCATGAGTACGTATAGACCAGGCCCTGTTCAACAAACATCTGTCTGGTGGAGTACTTATTAATCTACCACGTAGTTTAAGCTGTTTAGGTGTATCCCAAGCCTCTTTTCCTTTGACGTCAAACACACTCATACACACACACTCACTCTCTCTCTCTTTCTCTCTCTCTGACAGACAGACGTTGAAGAGAAGATCAGGATATTGATCGATGGAAGTGGTGGGAAAGATTGGTAGAGGTTTAATGGTGCCAATGTTGGCAGCCAATTTTGTAGTCTACATAATCGTCATCGGCCTTGCCGCATGGTCTCTCGACAAGTACATCGACGGCCAACAGAATCATCCTCGTAAGTTAATTTGTAGCCTTACATCAATTTTTTGTGTATGAACTATCATTTACTTGTAGACTATATAATGCTTCAAGTTATAACCTAATGGATAATTTAATTGTTTAAGATGATCACATACTCTGTTTTTTTTTTCTTTACTCATAAAATTTCTCAATTTTTGTTCCCAATAGGTATATAAAATATTATATCATGATGATTAATGTGATGTAGACTTAGGAGGGAACACATCGACAACATACATGTTAGAGTTTGGATTACTTGGAGGTGCAACAGGCATGTGCTCGGTGGTTATCGGGTTCATGCATCACCGAGCATGGCGTAGTGCCAGTTTAGCAAGTGCTTCATCTTCCGCATTTATAGCTTGGGCTATTACTTCCATTGCTTTCGGGTACTTGAAATAAAACAATCATATATGTTTACATCAATTTTCTTGTTCTATAAACGTTTGCATTTAACATGGACTTTTTTGGAAATTGGAACATAGTTTTGCTTGGAAGGAGATCAAAATTGGAGGACGAAGAGGGAAACGCTTGGTAAGTAATATACAACTTTCTCCATACAATTCAATGTCTAAATAACATCTTTCTTTTCTTTATATATGTAACAATTAATTTCTGAATGCAGCAAACACTGGAATTGTTCATCACCATATCCACATTCAGTCAGCTGCTATATCTCATGCTTCTGCATGCTGGATTATTTAACCGAAGATACGGACCTGATTATCTTAGCCACAGGGACGACACCATCATCCACCGTGCACCCACCCAGTCGCATCCCAGCACCTCCACTTTGGACTGATACAAGATTTCATATCATACGTACTTTAAACCACAAAACTCACTCGTAGTTTGATGGAATACCACGTGTAATTTTGTGTTTTCAATGTCACTAGAATATAAAATTGTTTATAAGGAATTATAGCATGTTGAAAAAGCAAGAAATTTCTAGATCCCTGCAAATGAAGTTGAGAGTATTTGAAGGTTATTGTGGGTTGAAGAAGATTTTTAAAACTTAAACAAAAAATAATTCAAAATCAAGTTCCAGACCCATATATTCTGAAAACCCTGAATGGTATTTTAGGGTCATCCAGAATCCCAGATCATCGTCAAGTGGACAAAAAAATGTTGGATTATTTATTAAAAGATTTGATGACAAGAACATCAGAATATATAAGGAAAATCGTACACGATATGAAATCCCGATTTCAAAGTTTAGTTTCTTACTCTCAAGCTTAATGTGCGAAGTTTCATGCACTTGAACTACTAAAGGGGCACCCGGAAAAAAAAAAACAAAAAAAAAAATTCCATACCTTCTCTGTAACAGTGGTGGATCCATGATTTAGATACATTGGGGTAGAAAAAATATTCAAATACATTTTGTTTTTCAGGTCAGGTCAAATGGTTCATAACATACTATTACTGATTTTACTAATTACAGATTTTTGTACAAAAATCTTTTTATTTGAATTGGGGACAATAGCAAATAAAAACCAAAGTTAGAAATGATTTTGGGAAATTTTCAAAAAAAAAAAAAAAAAAAAGACTAAAACCGTAATTCTTACCGACCAAATTTATTTTTTGTTTTTGTTGGCTATAGGCCCTGAGTAACGAGACAAGTACTGTTGTTTGTTTTTTTTTTTTTCATTCAAATAGCCCAATAGTCACAAAGCCCACACCCAATTGAATAGAGGGACTAGGTGCAGTTAGGGGTGTTACCGGGACGGTTCGGTTCGGATAGTAATAAAATTGTGAACCGTCACCACGGGGCGGGTACTTCATGTCCACTAACCGAAACCGAACCGAATTAGCAAAAAAACCGACCCGAACCGAACCGTATAATGACGGGTAACCACGGTTCGGTTCACGGGTACCCGCTAAATATAAAAAATCAAATACAATCAAAATTACAAACTTCATTTCAACGATTTCTTTCTAAAAATTACTAAGTCCAAAGAGTTATAAAAACATAATGAAGGTCAAATAACATACATTATAATTGGTATAATAAATATAAAAATAAAAATAAAAGAAAACATAATGTAGAAGTGTAAAACTGGAATTGCCGATCATGATTTTTGTTTGGGATATGGCTAAAAAGTTCAATGAAAATGAATAATATATATATATATATATATATATATATATATATATATATATATATATATATATATATATATATATATATATATATATATATATATATATATATATATCAAACGGTTCGGTTCGGTTATCCGCGGATACCTAAGTATCCAAACCAAAACCGACCCGTTGATATCCGGTTTTTTCGGTTTCGGTTTTTTTAAGCTTCGGTTTCTTTCGGTTTCGGTTTTTTTCGGTTTCGGATCGGCTCGGTTTTTCGGTTTTGCGGTTTTTTTGCACACCCCTAGGTGCAGTTTAAGCTTTTTTTTTTTTTTTTTTTTTTTGTCATTGGTTGAGGGTAAGTAAGCTTAAATTTCGTTGTGATATCTGAGGTATTGTTTGTTTTTTCAAATGTAAAATTAAGTTTGTGAACCACATTTATAACTGTATCAGAAAATGTGGACCAAACGCTACAACCTATAATAAGAAGTCTGTTTGATTTTTAACGTTTGCAGACTGTTACAATAAAGTGAAATTAACCATACAATAATTAAACTTCTAAATCAAAAAGTTATTTAGGTTAATTATATTCAAATCAAATATAAAGATCATTGTGATGATATGACTTTTAAAGACGTTTATATAAAATAATTAAACATAATATTTTCTAAATAATAATAAATGAAATTGTTAATTAGCAAACAACATGTTCATTTTATTAAATTTAGAAGACGATTGTTATTTTTCTGATTAGAGTCAATAAATTTGATAATTTTAGTGATTAACTTTATAATTTATTAATATTTGGTTATAGACAATGTAACACAAAAAAATATTTATATGAAAATTACTAAATGGTTTTGAAATTATGTAAAAAAAATAAACTTGAATTTTTTATGATATCATTCATAATATTATTAAAATAATAAACATGTTGAAAAAAAATTTAAAAAATAAATATTGAATAATATAACTTAAATTAATGTATGAAGTGGTTTGAAAATGACGGTACAGTATTGCGTCACACAATAGACATGCAACAGTTCTTAAGTAAAAAGTCTTCAAAAAAAAATAAAACAAGTGTGAAATGCCAAGTGGTATGCATGTGCGGCACGACACCAACAGAAATGGTCAAAAATGATTTTTCTTAAAAAACAAACAACATTGAATCATTTTTTTTGCTCATAGTAATAAGTGTAACCTAATCGTTTGCATAGTTTTTTTTTTTTTTTGACTGCAAACTGGTAATAAAATTAATGAGAAACTAGCCGGGGGCTAAAGATACATATAACATAAGAGAGTATGAAATGGACAAAACAAAACAAAAACAACAGCTAAGAAAAACGACTACTCAAATCCTGCAATAACATTCTAGAAATGGGTCACAGCACCACTCCGGCCAACTAAATTTCTGTCCTTTTCGATTTCGTGCATTGATCCATAAATAAGCCAGTGTTTTTACTTCAAAAGCGTCGTATAATCATTTGCATAGTATTTATTTGTGAATCATTTTTTGCTCATGGTGATAAGTGTAAATACCATTTCCACACATGGCAAGGCTAGTGGCATAATATGTACGCCTCGTAACTTCAATCTTCTATTTAGCATATCATGCTAGTATTAGCAAGCCAACTTCAAATGCATTTATGTGTATTGGTTCATGTACCACATCTTATTTATCGTTATGACATGCCTTTCAATAAACTCTAGCTGTATGTATATTCTGCTTAATGTTTGAAGAGAATACAAATATTAATTGCTGAATTTAAAAGAAGCGTTTTGGAAAACGGGAATTGCGAAAGACATAAAGTGGGGAAACATAAGGAGAAAAGACTACCTAAAAATCAGCTTCTAAAGCGAGGTTATGAGATTTAAAAAAATAAATAAATTAGTCATTGAGGTAGTATTGATGAATAAGTCACATAATTTGATTAAATAGCATAATCAATCATTATATTGAGAAAAAAGAATTCCGTTGCCGGGACTTGAACCCGGGTCTCTCGGGTGAGAGCCGAGTATCCTGACCAACTAGACTACAACGGATTTGTTTTTATTTCAGATTCTTAATTATTTGTACTAAGAACTACACTAGTAATAGGATTAGATGAAAACTCGGTAGGTTATATTGGAGTTCTTCATATCCTCTCATGTTATAACAATCATTATCTCAATTCTTGTTTCTGTTTTGAAGCCATTGCTTCTGATCAAATTCTACGCTACCCATAACTACAAAAAGATGAATTTATCTGGATTGATTGAAAGTCCCACAAAGTATTGCTTCTTTCTCCATTCAAGAGGTCCAGTTTTACCATGTAAGCACACTCCAGTTTACCAAGATCATGGTAATTGGTAAACGTAAAGAATTCTTTTGTCTTGAAAGGTAATTTTACTAATCACGTCTTAAAAGTTTGCATATGATAACTACCATTTGGATTAGGATTAATTTACTGATTTCCTCATCTAAGCAGACGAAATAATCTGCCATGGATACTGCTAGAGATGAATCATCTGGTGACCCTTAGCTCCATATCTTTCATAAAAATGGTCAATTTCTTTGTTGTTTGCAACCCGTTCTAATTGAATCCATAAAAATGGTTAATTTCTTTTTCTAGAAAGTTATATGCAATATTGGATTATGCTTCAAAGAGTTTAAGATTCTTGTTCTTTTTAATCATCGGGAAGTTGTTGTGTTCATTGGTAACTTATATGCTTTTGTGAAATAGAGTCAGCCTAGTGAAGTCCAAAATTTTTGCCATCCAGAAAGGGCTAGCGGCGCAGCTTGTTGCCCGTTTGCCTTCAATCGATATGGAGTGATAATGATTTTTTAATAAAGTTGATGTACCAAAACTGAATATCGAAATGTAAGATTACCTATGATTTTTCAAGATAGTCATAAGAAGGTCGTAGATTTGTTGCATTTTAATGTCTTGTATCAATCAAGGGTTCTCATAATACTAATTTTGTTTTAGCTTTTCAATGGGGACTAATGTCACACGAATTATGTTAATTAAAAGAAGAGGAAAGACAAATCACACTAATCGCATTAACCATTTTCTAAGATTTAAGCAAAAATTAGAGACTGAACCTAAATAGCCATGATTAGGATTTTAGTAGGTGGTGAAAATCATGGTGGCCGAGAAAACCTCAAAAACGTCGTCATTTAAGAGATCTTTGCATGTAAACATGTGTGGAATTCTCAGTCATTGTGAAAAAATTAATCCCAAAATGCCAAAACTGATTTGAAAAAAAATATATCAGTTGAAAAGGTCGTTGATGGATTTGGTTGAAAGGGTTGTTGATGAAAATGTGGTTGTTGAATTTGTGGTTGATAGTATGGGTTTTGTTGAAATGATGGTTGTTGATGGGATTGTGGTTGTGGAAATAGGTTTCGTGAAAGTCCTTGAAGTTTGGGGAATTCTTGAAACTTTGATCGTATTTGTCAAATCGTAAAGTTTAGTTTGGTGGTGGTATGCTTGGGTTTTGGTTATTTCGAGTTTTGTTCCATATTTTTGAGAAATGAAAATGGTATTTGAGATGTAAGAAAAAGAATAGTGTATAAGAGGTGTGTGTAAAATGGTAAAAATTTGTTAGTATGTATAGATACAGTACTAAGTTAAAGAAAAAAAAATACACAAATGATCAAGTCCAACAGTCAAAAACAATTCACACCTTGTGTTACAGCCCGTTACAAGGGCCACCCCACACCACGACAAGCAAGCAGCCTCGGGTGGTGTTTTCGCGTACCACATAGTAACACCCATACCATCCAACCTAATAATTTATACCTCCAAATTAACATAATCAACCAAGTAGTATAGTAGTAATGCTTTGCATTGTAA